CCGTAAACTCCATGCCCGATTTATAACTCAGAAAGAAAGAGAAATATCATCACAGCCTTATATCGAACAAGAAGAAGATGATGATGATGACGAAGATGACGGTGATGATCTTGATGCAGAGAAAGAGTGAAATGATGATAATAATAATAATAATAATAATAACAATGCATTCTTTCGTCTTCTCTCCGAAATCCTGTCTGCAGAAAATTTTGTAGTGCTGGTCTGTTGTGTCAGACGCGAACGTACCTAGTCCAAAAAATATTATGTGGCCATGCTGACTCAGCACGACCCGTATAGTTTGAGAAACACCCTGTCAGAGGTTCATTTGGTGGATTGTTTTTTTTGTCCGTATAATCTAAGAAATTAGCCGGTACAATTACACTAGTTATCTATCTATTGATGTTCTGAACAAAACAATCATGTCACATGTGTTTGTACAGAGTGTATTTTTTGAAATAATTACTGTAACATTTTTTAAATATAATATATATAAAATAAAAAATAATTAAAAATACAAAAAAAATATATTAAAAAATATACTTATGATACAAGTAAAAAATTATTTAAAATAATTCACATATTTAAACGCTCACACAGCAGCACAAGTTACTAGTACATGACTCGTCGCTCAAAAGTCAGACTTTGACCTCAATGTACACTGCTCCGTCCGTCATCATTAATGAGCTCATCTCTAGAAGATTTACACTGCTGTTTCTTTAATTCTTCCCCCCTCCCCACCTGCCCCCCTCTTTTACATTTATTAACTGGTTTCTGAAAATCTATTCACAGTCCTGTGAAATAATAATGTGGAAACAACTTGAATACTAAAACGAAATTTCAGAAGAATTCTCAATTACATATACATTAGTCAAGAAATGTGAAAGGAATTCAAAAAAAAAGAAAAGAAAAAGAAAAGCACGCAGCAGATAGCTGGTGGAGATTGGAATATGCTTCAGCTTCACACGTGGGCAGCTGAGGGGATGAAGCAAAAAAAGTTGAAATAGGAGAACCGCGTTACTTTTAAGCATCATCAATCGAAATTGAAAACGAAAGCCAAAGAATTTTCTCTCTCTTTAACAATGCGCTGAACTCCCACTACAATTCGAGACAAATTGCAAGACGGCAACATTACCGCACGTGTTGTTGTATGTTAAATTAACGAGTAATTTCGCAATTTACAACGTGAACGCGGAAACCTTTTTGCCCCACCCCTCCCTCCGGTCATTTCCTCTCACTTTCTTCTTCTTCTTCTTCCCGTTTTATTATTATTATTATTATTATATTTTGCTTGCCATCCAAGCTCCCCACGTCCTCATCACACAATCTAAACAGGCAAAACACACACCACCAAAATTGACGGACCGTCATTAATTTGATCTTTTCTACTTTGATAAGTCTATGGCCAGAGAAAAAGGAAAATGACTTGCCCGCGTTATACATAACACCTCAGTGGCCGTTGGCCTGTTTATACGTTGCTGTCAGGTATAATACTAGATTCGGTCCAGGTTAAAACTGATCCGGTCAAGTCTCCTCAAGCAGCGCGGACTATTGTGGACGACATTCTATTATGTTTATATAATATATAGGCCCTTTTATGTAATTCGATTAGTAGAATTGTTGTAGCCAAAGCCCATGGCTCAAATTCATATGGATAGCAATTTTTCGAGACGCATTGCACGTGAGATCAAAAAAAAAGTCAAGCACTAAGTTAAGAAAATAGTTTCAAAAAATCTAAAAAATAGAAAATTCCAAGAAGGTACAAACCAAACAATGCCTCAACTTGCACTTACTATTAGATATGATAATGTCTTCACCTAACACATTTTTTTTTTATCATACACAGACAGATAAATAAATAAAATAACTGAACTAGAGGATGACTCTATAAGAGGTTTTTGACAAGAATGGATAACGGTAAAAAGATAAGTCGAAACTTAACACTAGAAAATGGTACCGAAATGCCCTATGACTAGGCGTTTTTCATTTGTTTGAATCATGGGAGAAGCCGTAGCAATTTTTTAAAAGTCTAAAAGATGGACGAGACGACATTGAGCAAATGAAGAAATGAGGATGTTACAACGCATTTCCATATCAAAAACTTGCATATAGTTGACATTTAGCTCAAATCACATTAGAGAAGTATATGTTTTTACATTTTGTCATGGATGATGTATGTGAGAAAATCAAAACCCCTACATTTTCTATTTTCTTTATTTTTTTTTTTGTTGAAAAGTCTAAGCCCTTTAATTTTCAAATGCGAAATCATGGTCCTATCCTTCTTTTTTTTTCCCTTTTTTTGAAAAGAAATTATGGTCCAATCTAACAAGAAATTTCCTCAAGTGCATCATCTTTAATGTCGAAGCTTAAAAAATTTAAGCTTCCAGAATGGTTGTAACTGTCAATGACGTGCCAAATTAATCTCATCCTAATTAAAAAAAAAAACACATTAATCATCTCACTCAATTGAATTTATTTTTAGCACACAAAAATATATACACATATATATTAAACAATATTTAATGTCAATTCAAAGTTTCAAACTTTGCAAGTAGCAGACCAAACCAAACTTCGTACCTTCCTCCCTAAATCTCTTTACTTGCGTGTGTAAGCACAACTACCAACCTCCACCTCCCCATTTATACCACCCTTACTGACCAGCCCATCCCTCCCCCTCATTATTCTCATCCCTCTATCCTCTTCTCTATCTACTACTGCTATATAACAACAGAATTCTCCTCCAAAACTTCTCCATAATTCCAGCAAGAACCGCTCTTACAGAATCTTAGGAAGCTACGGAAAGAAACCAAAGATGCAGAGAATCACTCAAGAGTTCGAAAAGCACCTGAAGCTCGACGAAGAAGATGGTAAAGAAAACGAACAAGAAATAGAATCCCACGGTGAAGATTACGAAGATTATGATGATGATGAAGACGAAGATGATTTTTCTTTTGCATTTGATGGCGTAAATTTCTCAACTATTTCAGCTGAGGACGCGTTTGATAACGGTCAGATCAGGCCGGTCTACCCCTTGTTCAACCGGGATATTCTGTTGGGTGGTGGTGTTGGTGACGGGCAGGATTTGGAGACTTTAAGGTTGAAAGATCGTTTGCCCAACGTTAAAAACGTGTTTGTAGAAGCTGAGGATGATGGTTTTCAAGCAACGACATCGTCCTCGACGGCCGATGGGGAAGCAGTGGGACCCTATTGTGAGTGGTCGAAGAAGGTGGTGGAGGCGCTGACGCCGAAGGGTTGTAAGAAGAGTAGCTCAACGGGGTTTTCGAAGATTTGGAGGTTTAAGGATTTTGTGCATAGGAGTAACAGTAATGGGAGAGATGCGTTTGTTTTCTTGAACCACCCGACGCCGTCAGCGGCGGCTCCTTCTGCTGCGGCGGTGAGCGCGAGGAAGGAAGAGAAGGCGGCCGAGGGTGTACCGTTAAAGAAAGTCAACGGGAACAATGGGGCCGTTGGAGTGGAAGCAAAAAAGGTGAAGAAAGTGAAGAAGAGTAAAACGGCGGCGTTATCACCTCATGAGGTGTATATGAGGAGTAAAGCCAAAGAAGGCGACCGCCGGCGTTCGTATCTCCCTTACCGGCCGGAGCTTGTTGGTTTATTCACTAATGTCCATGGTGGTGGTCTGACAAGGAACGTGCATCCCTTCTAATCGCAAGACTTATATATATATATATAGGATTTTTTTTTGCTATGTTTTTTGTTTAATCTGCTGAGTGTAAGTTAAACACTCCCCCCATTCATTGATTTTCTTGTATCTACCTAAAATATGTATAACCACTGCCTAACTTTAGTAATAGGCCTAAATCTGAAAAACTCATCACTGATTGAGTTTATGTAAATCTCCGATTGTATTAGTTGTGTCCTCTGGCATTTTGGCTTTATGCTGTTTGCTGCCATCAGTTGAAGCACGGAAATAAGATTTTTCATTCACAATTCACATTTTCATTACTGTTACATTTTAGGTATATGTTGAATTTGTCATCGAGATTTTTTTTTATTTGGTTTTTTTTGGAGGGGGGGGGGGGGCGCGGGGGGAATTTGGGTTGTGTCCTGGAAAGAGGTGGGGAGGTTGCGGGAGACAAAAATGAGTTGGTGGAACACAATTTTGGCATGGATTCCTTGTGAATTTCGTAGCAGTTTAACGTTGTAAGCTTGTGAGGCCAATGGCAACAAGTATTGCCAAATTGTCGATTGGAGATGCAATTATACGGAGTTCTTATAGAAAAATATATTGTAGTGATTTGATACGTGTGAGATAAAAAGATGGTTGAAAAAAATATTTTGATGTATATGAAATAAAAAAATGATTAAAAATGTGTTTATGAAAAAAATTTTCTATTAGAAAATCAAAATTCAAACGAGGAACATTTCTGCGGGGCATCTAGTTTAGGGGACCTTACCAATTTGTTGGAGTATTTGCTTATGTTGAACTTTAATCTGAAACAAACAACTGTTTTGTGGAAAAAGGCTAGGTGAGTGGAGATGAGATAACCTCCAAAGTTGGGAAATTGCTCTTTTGATGCATATATATACTTCTAAATTTGTAACATACACAGGTAGATTGGTTCAAGGGTTGTTACTTGTTGAGCACCTACACAACTTGGAAATGGACCAAAAAAGTTACTAGAGAAATGAAACTTTGGATTGTACTGTTTGAGAGTTTTTAAGCAAAAATAACATTGTAGTATTTTTAAAAATGTGATGTAAGTAGAAAATGTGTTAACCATAGATGCCCAAAAATTTCAAAGAAACATTCTTATGGATTATGGTCGTTGGCCTATTTGGCTTTAGGATTTGTTCCAAGTTCACGATGATTGATTCATACCGGAACCTTTGGTACATTGTTCCATGGTTCACGGGCTCCCTGGCTGAATCGTTCTGCTCCGACCATTGCAGAAAAAGCTTTAACTCTCTCTAGATGGAAAAATGCAGGCGGGGTAGACATAAGATGAAGGTTTTGTTTATCAGCAAGGAGGCCACAAGACAAATAAATTGCTAATACAACTTTGAGTTATATTGAAAAAACTAGATCATGGCTGCAGTACCACCGAGGCACAAATTCTTGGTCCTACGGCATAAGAGGCCAGAAACATCAAATCAAGTGACGAGGAGGAAGACCAAAAAAAAACCTAGTATCAAGGGAAGACAAACACATGTTACACCACGATAAAAAGTTCCATTCCTCAGAAACTTTCTGAAATCTTCAGCTACATTGTAATATACACACAAATCAAGTTCACTGGAATCTTAAACAGACACACCACACAGAGAAATGTGCCCTTCTGAATGTAACCACTTTCTTCCGCATTCATCCACTTTTCTTTTTAGTGTTTGATCATATGTATCCTGTCCTGCACCGTAGTCTGTTTTTGAGTATTTTAATACTCCACGAAACATAGAATGAATGACGAAAGAAGGCAAGATGTCACGGCAGCCTCATCGTAAATCACATACTTCCAATCTCAGATTTGGATTCATATAGACATTGGAACAGTTCTCATATATGGAACTTCCGTCAGCTGGTTGTGCATGAGAATGAAATCCCTTCTCTTTGCACTCCTTCAGGATGCTCATCCCAACAGGGTCAGACAGTCTAAATACGCCATATTTCCTGAGACATATATATATATATATATATATATATAACGATCAAAAACTCATTCATGTCAGTTAACATCCAAGAAAGTTTGCACATTGCACCTTAACTTTGTGAAAGTGGGACCTAAAAGGTGTGGTCAAACATCCAATAAATCAACCAAGTCCAAGTTACATATTGAAGTTGGTTCTGTGAATTTCTCTTATTTATTGTCCTGTATGAATTATGGTGAGTGCTTGCTAAGTGTGCCCTTTATGCTTCTGCATGCAATTTGTTGCGTGAAATAGTATTACCTCCAAACTCAAAACTGAAAATCCAAAATATTCAATCCAGCATGCGACTTCCTTTACTGAATAGGACTAATCAAAGAATGAATGTAACTTTTGACTTATAAAATGTGAAATGTGCCAGTGTGACGAACATTCATATTCATGAAAAGAATCTGCAGAAAACCTCCATTGTTGATGGTTCTTTGGACGAGTTTGCAAATCTGTGATGGACTTAGATTACCTTGACTCGTCATTTGGAGCCAGAACAATGCCAACAGCCTCAGGTACCATAACCTTAAAAGTTTGAAAAAAAAAAGAAATTGACAAAATTTACCAGAAGCCTGAAAAAGAACAAAATACAAAATACAACCAACGGACACATCTCTTAGCTAAAGTTATAATGCTATTGGTAGCCCAAGACACTATCAGAAAGTAAGCATAGCCTCTTTTTGGTAAAATAAGCACATATCTACAGATACGTTAGCATATTTACTCCAGAAGGATCCTGCAGTTTCCAATACCTGTGGAGTAGTTTTGCAGATTATTTAAAAAGATTTTGGTCAATAGATCTTTACAGAATATTGGGAAGTAAACTACAGAATTTCAAAGGGTCTCCAGTGAAGTAAAACCAGCCGAATGTACCCACACCAAAAAAACAGCACCACAAAACTTGAACTTACCTACCTGATATGAATATTGAGTGTGCAAATCGACTGATGACATGAAGCAGCTTTGGGAAGGATGCGTCTGAAGAAAGAATAATAAATGCATTTATTCTTAGAATAGAAAGAGATCTATCAAGTGGATAATAATTTCCAAAAACCAGAAGTATGAATGAAATCAAAAAGAAAAAAAAAATCCAGTATTAATAGCCAATATACACTAAAAAGCAAAAAAAGAAACACAAACCAAAATAGCACGATGTAAGCAAAAGCTAGTCGTCAACAATCCAACCAAGCCAGATAGGCAGCTTAACTGGTCAACTGCTATTTGGTTCTGTCCAGTTTATGCGGTATGCAAAATAAATGTTTAGAATTTGATACTGCACTAATCTGAGTGCTATTTGGTTCTGTCCAGTGCATGAGAGATACAAAAAATGTTCAAAATTTTGATACTGAACTAATCTAACCAGTCTAGTTTCCATTAGTTTGGTAAAATTTAACAGGTTTCCGGCTTGTCCAGTTTTATTTGGATCAAACTGACAACAGTTTCTGTCATTCCAATCAAACCTGAAATTCTAGTTAGTGGTTAATAGAAATGCAAAATCATTGGGCATTTTGTAAGGCAACAAGCAAGCTACAGCAAACTTCTAAGTATTGAACTGGAAAACCATGCATACATGAATCCATCCAATCGGAACAAGGGACTGTTGACTTTGTATGGCAAATATCTCCTCCTCATTTAACGCTTGACACTGTCAAGGATGATACCAAATTAGCAGCTTGAACACAATGCTGCGAAAGAGACCACTGAAAATTCGAAATTCAAATCAAATACGATGTAATTTAAGCACCAAATAACTTACAGAGTTGGGTGTGGATTCTTGTTTAGGCACTATCAAATTGGTCACATAAATGTTCCTCTCTTCCTGCACAAATTTTGATAAGAGCAGAAAACTACTACTCAGTTAAAGATTCTTTTTCAAGTAAAAGATCCTCAAGCAGGACAGCTGATAATTCCATAAAAATATCTTCTAGAGCCAAACATTATGTCTCATGTGCCTCAAAGTACACCACGAGATGCTTAAGTGGTATTATATGGGACAGAAGTTACAATTAGCATTAAAAAAATGAAAAAAAGCTTTGTGTATGTTTGAAAATGAGTGCAAAATAATGTGATCTGAGTGAACTAAAAGAGTATAGATTAACTGAAAGAGGTCATCGACCTACTTATATAAAAGCCATGTGAAGAATTTCCAGAGCTTCACATGCTGGAAATATGCAGTCATGATAGTAGATGGCCAAAATTAACATAGATCTTACAAGGCAGGCACCAAGGACTCCACAGGTCTCTAAACTGTTTTTGGTGTTCTCAATCGCAAGGTCAAGAAAATCTTCCAGCAACCTAGCTGACTGAGAAAACCAGAAAAGTGTCGGATCAACAATTGCTCTAGTTAGTTTCTTGCTCCTCCAAAAAGAAACACAATGTTTATTATTTGGAATTGGAGAATGGAAAAATTAACGAAAAACAACACTTGGAAGGCCATAACTCAAGCAAATAGGTTATAGTCCAATACCAAGATAAGCAAGGTAGTAGTTTTATGGTCCTTACAATGTGTACATCTTTAAGGGAATTGCAATCTGCTGGCTTGTTGATTGAAGATTCCGGATAACCATCTAGTGAAGCAGGACTACCACCGAAACGTGAGATTTCAGCCCCATGAGGCACAGTATGTGTAAAGGAAACACCAGTGGAAGGAGAATTTTTTGTGACGGTATGCACATCAATCTGGCAAAAAACTCCAGCAGCCATGAAAATATCAGGGACACAGTCAGCTGAAACCAGATGCTACCAGTGCCAAATTTTGCCGAAGATACCTAAACATTGACAATAATGTGTAACTAAAACCAAACACACAATGGGTATTCCACTATTCGTTAATAGCCATTCAACTTTATGAGAATCAAGCAACCAATTACACCAAACTCTACACTGTCTACCTCAAGTTCGCAAAATTAAGAGCAGCAAAAACAGTAACACTATGACTTCACTTGGCTTCACCTATTGAAAACCGATTGGCAATCAGAACTGAGCAACAAATAGCGAACTTTACTATAGGAAGCACTATCAAGACAGTAGCTTTCTGACTGCAGTTCGGTAATCTCAGCTTAGACAGCAAAATCATTGCCATAACATCTGTAAAGAAACTCACGGTTTAAGCTGCTGATAACAACTAGCATATCAACCTAAGCTGGTTCTTACACTTTCTCATTGCTTTACATCAATCAAATGTGCCCACTTCGTGATTATCCACGTCTATAAAGATCAAGTTTTTAATACCCACCTCGGGCACCTAATTTTAGAGGATCCAGCAGTAAAAGTGCCTACTGTCTAGTCTTGCCTTTCAAATTTTCTTACCTGTTCTCAAAAATGAAATGATTCATAGCAGAGTCACACACCCACTATAATGAAAAAAGGATTCAAAATTTGCCAGCCTCAATTTCGCATGCTCATAAGTGCATAAATAAACATCATGCTTTGACATTTAAACAATCACCAGTCGACTTTCATTCGAAAAGCTATGCATCCACGAGTTTGTTCAGCTGAAAGTGAAATTGATTTTTCCCCCCTTGTTGAAAGGATCAAATTTCCAGCTATGTAACAGCAAATATTTTACCAAAAAAATAAGCATCAACCCTCTACTCGTTCAGAAGCCGTATTTCATCAAGTTCATAAGGGTTATGTCACACAATATTGCCATGATCTCTTTCAAAACCTTGCAGTTGGGCCTATTAAACACGTTAATAAACAATAACAGTTGTTTGGAAGGGCCTGTAAACTTCACATAGACATGATCAAGGAAGAGAGAGATGAACCTGGGCCAATAAGGAATGAGTTCAGTCATCAACTATCAGCTCCGGAGTCCAACATTAGATTTTTTTTTGTCTTTATTCTTAGGGATAATTTCAGAAACCTCCCCTGAGGTTTCTCATAATTTCACTAGCCTCCCCTAAAGTTTGCAAAATTGTACAAACCTCCTCTAAGGTTAAGGTTTTGATAACAAAATTAGTACAATTAGAAAAAGTAACATTAAAAAAATACTTTAAGGAGAGAGATGAAACTTATATTCCATAAATACCCCTTATTTTTATATATAAGTTGTATTAGTAAAAGAATAAAAATAATTAAAAGTGAAGAACAATTAATACACATATTTCACCACTCAAAAAATTCACATTTAATTATTAAATAAAATAAATAAGTAGCAAAACTACATTAATGATTACAAGATTTAACAAAACAGACCAGTCATATCTTTTAATATGATGTTTGTCAGCGCCCCCTTCTAACATCTACTCTATTATTACAGAACTGACTACATAACTATAATAATAAAAAAAAACTTGGAAAGCTGTAATTTTTGGGGATCCTGGATGGACTAATCAAGCAACGACAATTGCCTTCTTCTTTTCCTTTTTTTGTTTGGGTACATCAGAAATTGCTCTAACAACTCAATTGCTCGGTTGCATGGTGCATTCTATACTAATGTTCACATTTACATCTTTGAGTATTGAACTGTTGTTTAGGCCGCCTCCAGCGTACCACTTTCCAGAAACTGCTCTAACAACTCAATTGCTCAGTTGCATGGTGCATTCTATACTAATGTTCTCATTTCCATCTTTGAGTATTTTACTGTTGTTTAGGCCGCCTCCAGCATTCCGTGAAGGTTTCGTTGGGACTTGTTCCACTAAATGATGGGCCATCAAATCAGCAAAACCGTCCTTCCTATAACTCATAAATGCTCCCAAAGCTCCAAGAAAACCCTCGTGTCTCAAAAACATTGCTTTTGCCTCACCGTTCGACCTGCAGGAAGTCCATTCATGAGAAACAATAATGATTCGACCTGCAAGAAGTACATTCATGAGAAACAATGAACACTTCCCTAACGACGGAGCTTCTTGCAGCGTTGCAGCAACTTACGTTTTGAAAGAAAGTTCAAGCAACGAGATTAAATAGCAGGTACCAAAAGTTTTTGGGGTCAAGTTTTGAAGACAAGCAGGTTAGTTACCAGAAATTGACTGCCACAGAAATTGTGTCCATCGTGTAAGCATGACCCCGAATGAAAAACCCACCGAAAAATATTCGCTTCAGTCCAAAACGAAGAGCATTCAAGTAAGCAATCTGGGGGAAGAAATATTAAACACAAATCAGAAATTGTACAATAACCAACAATAGGACATGCAGTCATAACACTTCTTCTTCTTTTGGGTACTGTGTTTTTTTTTTTCCTGAAATAAAAAATTCTTTTCCAAAAATCTGACAGCCACAACTTGATATACATTGGTAACCATGAATACAGCAGTAAAGGAATATCTTCCAAACACAGCTCCAAAATTTGGTCGAGGTACTGTTATACCCTGCCTGACTTTACTTGGAGAATACAATTCAATCAGTAGCACAAAAGTAAACCTCAGAAAGTCATTGAACAAGCAGTTGCCACCATTGAGCATTCTCAGCAATGAAAAAGAACAATTGCGATGGGGCAAAATGTCACATTAAAGCAATGGAAAGATTTTTCTCAATAAAATGGCATTGTACCTACTTGATTAGCTGAGTGATTAACGTATAGGTTTAAGAGTGTGTAGTAGCCTCCGTGTTCAGGACTACAATATGCATTACAATTCCACCAAGTTACCATCTAAGTCTAACAGTCAAATAGTCTGACGTTGCTATCGTCACAAGACAGTTATCTATGGCTTGTCACAAGCGCTTCAGATTTTTAGTATCAAAAGAGAACCTATTTTGCTGCTTCTGATATTCAGCTTTTTTGCCTACAGAAAAGCTAAAAGCAGGTTTTAAAAGCAACTGATAACAGAAAATAGCTTTTTTAGAATCAAAAGCTAAATTTAGGTGTTAAGAATCATTTGCCAACAGGCAGTTAATTTCTTTCCCTTCTCTATCCCCCAGTATCCATCATTTCTTTTCTTTAAACGACAGAGAGAAATGAAAGGACAAAGAGGAAATGAATATGACCACTTCCTTCGAAACTAGTGAAGATGGCTCTTCTAATTTGGAACTGAGAAAAGAGCAAGGGGAATCTTTTTTGCAGCTAACTAATCACATCGTATGTAGCTAAAAAAAAAAAAAAGAAATACTATAAAAAATTGAGCATATGCAAAAATAATAATCTAATTACTATTTTTAAAGAGAAGATAAAGGTCTGATGAAGATAAATCAAGAGTTCTAGGAGAAAACAAACACGAAGCCTGTAATCTCTCTAACTTTCATGCATTGAACGACCTAAAAAAAGAAGACTTTGCAAGTCTCTTATCTCACCTGTCCAATATTGTTTGAAATCATTCTCAAGAGAGACCGTGCCACATCTTCAGGTTTGTACTCTTCAAGGTCTTTATCTTCGGAAACTGCCTTTCCAAAGCTAGAAGCAATTGCTGTGGAAGAAAGTCCAATCTACCACCATGACCAAGAAAAAAATGTCAATAGTTACAATTGTTGAAAGCCACAAGTAATCACCAAGAATAGAATTCAGAAAAGGTCAAAATATTGATTCTGTCTAGAGGCACTTTGCTACGAGCACGAATTACTTGCTTCATAATGTAAATAATGAAATTCATATTTTGCAGTGGCAATTATCACATAGATGCCCCATATCTTTGGTGACTATTCAATCCTGTCAAAATGGTTGACCCGTCAGCTGATTAGATAACACATTATTATAATAAGGCTAAGAGACATAAGAACCATGTACATACTCTGTCCAATCTACAAGGTATATGTTGCTCAAGGGCTATGCCAAGAACTCCAATTTTTGGGAATCATATTAGTGCATCAGTTTTTAGAGGTTCAACAACACAAATTTCTCACATAATTCTCAAGTTTCTTCAGACTCGAGATCTTCTTTCAATGAATTTGCTTAAAGCACCAAAAAAAAAATAGAAAAGACTATAGATAAAGCATTAAATACCTTGGAATAGTCCATTCCACCATAGATGTCTCCAACAAGCATATCTATTACTCGGTTGTTACCAGAATAACTCAACTCCAGCAATTCATCAAAGCTGAATGAAGATACAACAACGATTGTTGGGATGGATGATAACGAAAAATTACAGAAAAGCACCACCTTAAAATATCTACGAGGCCGACCTCTTGCACTTCGTCAAAAGTTTTCCCAGCCCCCAGAAGGTGCCACCTCCAACACTAGTTCCACTAACTCGCTCAAATTTCCCATCTCCATCAACCTAATCAAGTAACAACATGCAAACTAATGAGAAATTCAAAAGAAAATACTAATGAATTGAATGTTTAGCTGGATGGGACTTTCAGAGCCTGTAAGATTGCCTATTCAATCTTACACACGAAAGATGGAAGTCGCTCTGCCCTGATACATAAATGCAGATATTTACAATATAGAAGTCTAGCAAATAATGCTTTTGTCTCTTCAATTTGTATTTAAGGCTCCTTGTTGGACCAAAGACAAGAGGTCATGATCTCAATCGCTGTTTGTCTTGCTTTCAATATGCAAGTGAGTCTCAAACCAATCAGCTAATAATTACCTACAAAAATCCCAGAGAGTATACAGTTCATGTTTCTCATGAACTTTTATGTCTACGACTCTATGTTCCTATTACTATTTAACAGGATTTAAAGAGTAGCCTATTTGCAAATTCCTGCCATGTGACCTAAAGTGATCTAACCAAGTTGAAGGTCCAAAACTGAAATATACATGTTGTTGAGGAGGCTGTTACGTAACTCATCCATAAGTTACCATTTCTATTCTTCTTTCCCTCCACTTCAAAATTACTTCCTTCAGTTAAAGTAAAAATTCGCAATCATCATAACCTAGGGAACTCACCTTGATCATGCTAACACCGGACCCAATATTGACAAGGAGATAAGGGTATAAATCATTCTGATCAATCTGCACGTACTCCTTCTGACCATCCATGTATGTATAAGCTTCATGGCTGGCTGCCTGTTCAACGAGAGGGCAAAACAATTAATATGTGTGTCATCCAATTGTCTATGAAGCAACAAAGATATTCAACAGAACTGATGTGTCTATTAGCTCCCAGCACTCATGGTGAGGATGTCAATAAAGAAGGCTACACGTGATGATACAAATCAAAGAAGTCCAAAATCTTACAGTACAAGCTCAAGTAAGGTTAGCTGAAACATATAGAGCTTATAAAAACAGGAAATTATCCTCAATACAAACCACTTACTACAGATTGACTTAAGAAAAGAAATGGCATGCAAAAGCAAAACTATCAAGTATATGCATACACACTTCTCTTTTGTTACCTGAAAAAAGAATATTAATCATAAACATATCTTTGTACTCTAGGAATCCCACCTTAAGCAAAAAATTTGCACCAGCAACAAGAGAATTCATTTCATCAACCTTGTCCAGAGTCATTCCAAGCTTTTCTTTGAAGAGATCAGCAAACTTAAAAGCCCCACCTCCTGTAGCCTTTAAAGGAATTGTAACTTGTTATTCAATTAATCTTTCATCTTAGATGATCTCTTAGGACGAGGGGAAAAGGTCACAGTTCCATGCATGGTAGAGAGAGTTGCTTTACCAATATTTTGTTGACAATGTTGAACAGAAATTTTACCTTTATGATATTCTTCTCACTTACAGAAGCCCCATGACAATCCTCACCTGGATTCATAGCTTTCTGTTAGATAATAGGAACCTGAAGGTTACATCATTACATACCATGACATAACTGCACTATGAAAATAGGAGAAACTTCTTAAGCTATAAAAATTATGAGATTGCTGGCATGAATGTCAAACTATGTTTAGTAGCACGTTTCAGATAGAAACAATCCTACTTAAAGTACCTTTTATAATCTTGCAATCACAAAGCATGAATGACCTCAGACTCCGTAGTTATAAAGATTGAGATACTCTGAGGAAGTAAACAATTAAAGTAGAAAAGAAAAAGAGAGAACAATGTCTTCTTCAACTATTGCACATGCATAACACTATCACAGGGCTAACCTCAAATAACTTCTCTGAGCTATGTCTTCTTCCTTTGCCTTCATTATCGATATAAACATATCCTTTTATAAGAAAATCAAATCCAGCAATGTTTGACTTGACTTGCCAACACAATAGGATTTTACTGACCTATAACATCTTATTGAAACTGTTTCTTTGAGGCTTATAATACTTAATAGGAAAAGTTCAATATAAAATCCGTTAAAAGTCATTTTTATAATGAAAAATTTAACCTTCAAATTTGGATGTAAAGCACCTTACAAAAGATGTTGCCCACAGGCAGTCAAGAAGTCTTATACCTCAGGACCAAAGTACATCATAATGCTAAGACTATGAAGTGGTACTGGGTGTACAATTTACAGATGTAGTCATCATGACAAAGTACATACCATTCCGATGAAATTGCTTGGAAGACATAAATTCTAGGCACTCATTGATCTTGCTTGTTTCAAACTTCCGAAAGTGAAGCTTTCCTCCGAGGACTGAGCAATTTGTATTTCCATTAGAAAGTCCACAACTTTCCTTTGAAGACAAAATTCCCTGTTGATGCTCTGAGCCACTATTTTCTCCACAGAAGTACACCATCTTGATGAGGGAGCCTAGAACAAGTGAAAAAAAAAGAGCATTGATGATCATGTTGGCACCTTATTAAAAGGAAGAGTGGAGACAAGATATATCAATCCTAAGTGCTTAAAGCTAATTAAATTTTTGACGCCAAGGTTGATTTGCAGCGTCACAAGGCAGACTATACATGCTTTAGACCTTCTAATGCCAATTTAACTGATAGTACACATTAAAAATTGATGAATCTATGGTTCATATCCTTGAACATAGGAATTACCTGCTGTTCCTGTACAGCAGATATCACAAATGATGCTCTTGCATCTATAAATAATTGCAATGTCAGGTTATCAAATAAACTGGCTATAAGTTCAATTCCAGCTTTGCGGCAGCTAAATAGCATGGATCTATTTTACGCTGTACAAACTAAGAGCCAGTTTAGAAGCTTTTTGAATATAAAAATTTGGCTCTTTTTTGCTGGAGTGATCTATTTTGCAACGTCACACAATGAATATAATGCCAAGAAACGTTTTGTGCAGCAACCTCTGTCCTCATTCCATTTGCTATAATTCCCGAATACTAAGGATGTCATCTACCATGTAGACAAACAATTTATAGCACAATCTATTCTCAGTGAGAATCAAAGAGAACTCCTATAGTGAACTCCAGTCATGGTCAGGGTAGTAGCCCAGTGGCTGGATGCTTGCTCCATAATCCTAACGGTGAAAAGTTCAACGGTTGACGCCCAAGAATCAGACAAAGGTAAAGGAGCTACTGAAATTTCAGTTCCTCCATTCAAACTCTTGGAATTTTATTGACTGGCACAAGAACTTTAGCTCCAGGGACAGTAAGACAATTACCAGTACCTAGACTTCACACCTTCACACATGTTCCAGGAAAATGAAAACCCACGAATCCTATAACTAGTCTTTCAACGGTAATCGATCAAATAGTTGTGTGCATGAAATCATACGATTAAACACCCAACAGTTCGCAGTATCAAATAGATATATACACTTCTCGAAAACAGAAGATAAAACACAAAATCCAACCAAGAAGGAAAGTACAAGGAAAAACAACAAATCTCAAATCGAAATAAGCAGAATTCGAGCTTACCTCCGATATCAAGAGCCAGGTGTGATACTTGTTCGGCACATTTGTTCATCCCTCTCTCCTCGAATTCTCCTTCAGTTACTCCATTTCTATCCATTTTAAACAGAGTCAAGAATCAAAATTCCCTTATGATCTGCCACCAGCTCAATCTGCTCTATCCCTGATCAATTCTCCACGGATTTGGGAAATATATATATATATATATATATAAGGCATGCATAAAGCAATTTGTTCTGTTTTAAGTTGGGTTACCAAACTCGAATGCGGACTCTACCTAACACTAATTGGATATAGTACAGAGAAAACGATGGCGTGATGACCCAACATCCATCTTGGAGGCTTCCAAAAATATGTTAGTCAACAAGTAATAATTAATCGCTTTAATTTGCCTTTGTTTTCCAGCTGATGTTTTTGCCAGAGCAGTAATTATCCAGCCAGAGCGAGTTTTCTTTTTATGACAAAATTACCCCTTCAGAAGTCAGCATGCCTACGGGTCCCCACTCCGCACTCCCACTCCTGTAAGCATCTCCTGTTCTGCCCTTTTCATTCAACACTTTTGGCGGTTGCTTCACCGTTTCCTCTGCACCACCAATTAGTGTAGCCACCGCCTTCAACCCGCGTCCTAACCACCTTCAATCCTTGGTGTAACACACATTTCTTTAGTTATTAATTTTCACATTTGTTGATTGTTTTAATCACAAGTATTGATTTTGCACCTGAAAACAATTTTTAGCCGTTGCTATTTTTTTTAATCGAAAAGTTTTACAAATCGAAAATTCTGAACTTGTGACATCTTACTGATAATCCTTCTCATCTTATCATCTAATTTAATTATCCTCGTACCATTTAAAGAAAAGTAAATTCATAAAGGGTGCACTTTATCTTTTGAAATTGGACACTTTTTGTTTTTTTTTTTTATCTAATTTGGTATCGCTTGTCATATTTGAACCACATCTATACTCGATTGACATTCACGGATAAATATCAGATTTTTGGCTCCTTTGACTTTGTCTCTCTCTCTCTGTCCCCTTTTGGATTATTAGATGACTAGGGACTAATTTGTTCGTCTACAATTTTGGTGACCATCGTGAGTAACGACCCGTATTGTTTGTAGTCAGATGATGCGAGCTGAGGTTTATAGTTGAACACTTTTTTAACAGCTTCTTGGACATCCCACTTACGTTTGAAAAAAAAAAAAAAGTCTTTAACAGCTTCTTAGGGTCTTTAATTTTAATGGACAGACTATAATGACAAAAGGCAATTCTTTCTCATTTCATGGATTACCCTTCATCTTGACCTTTTCTAATCGAAGTTACCCTACAATTTTGGTGACCATCGTGAGTAACGACCCGTATTGTTTGTAGTCAGATGATGCGAGCTGAGGTTTATAGTTGAACACTTTTTTAACAGCTTCTTGGACATCCCACTTACGTTTGAAAAAAAAAAAAAAGTCTTTAACAGCTTCTTAGGGTCTTTAATTTTAATGGACAGACTATAATGACAAAAGGCAATTCTTTCTCATTTCATGGATTACCCTTCATCTTGACCTTTTCTAATCGAAGTTAAAATTACGGCTTTTACAAACCTAAACCCCAGAAGAACCTCCAAAAGCCGGTAATTTTTGAAGGCCTCCCAGGAGACTTATAACTACCCAACCCAACCCCCCCAAAACCGATGTGGGATGGCAACCCCACAAGGGCAAGCCAGTAGGCCGGCCGCTGCTAAGAGATAAAGCCAGTATGGATTACCCTTCATGTTTTCCTATTTTTCACCCGCATTTGTATAACACTGTAGAGGTCATGTACTACTCTGGAATTTAGTATAAGTTAGACTATATGACTTTTTCAGTAATCGGTTTGTCCCCACCCCCCAACTATGTATAAAACCACAAAAGAAAAAAAAATATAAGAGCCCTGAAATTATAAGTCCAAATAAATAACCCCATTACTTTATTGACCGTTTAAACTTTGACCAAGTCAGCAAAACCATAGAATGAACGCCCCAAATCACGTGTCAGTCAAAAAGAACTACCCTCTTCCCTCTCTCTCTCTCTCTCTTTCCTTTTCTTCCTTCTCCCTTTATTATACTATACTACTACTAGTATATATAAATGTCGAGAGTGGAATCCTTCCTTCAATTTGCTTCAACTTCAGAGTAATATACACTAATACTTAGATGCTTTACTTAGTATTAATTAACACAGGCAGCTGCTTAAACACTATTAATTATTTAGGTTTGTTTGAATTGAATATTAATTATTTACGCACACACAAAACAAAAAGTAGTATAATTATAATTTTATTTTTTAATCACTTTATATTTCACATACATTTCATCAAAAACTATTTAAGTAATTTTTTATCCAATCACAGTTGTGCATCTGGGTTCACAAGCATACAGTCCAGAATACCAAAAAAAAAAAAAAGAAAAAAAGAAAAACTGGCTAAGCCAAAAAGTCAGTCTGAACTTTGATTAGAATAAGAGTCAATATTATTAATCTCAAGCTGCGGACTACTAGTCTACCACTAAACTTCTTTCAGAAAAGACAAAAAAAAAAAACCGAATGGAGCTTAACTTGACAACCCATGCAACCGTCTCTCCCTTAAAAATTTATCCCCTAATAAAAGTACGGAGAAAAGAATATCAATAATTCAAATTTTCAAGGACCAATCAGAATTCAGGATACAGCTTCCACTCCTGCTGCGCTTGCGCGGGAAAACACATACTCACGCAGGCTAACTAACAAAGGGAGCGGTCACTGGTCAGTGGAGCGGAAGAAACGATTAAGAAGAATGGAGGTCTCTTCCGTGCAAAATCTCTGCAAACATGTGAGTTCTAATAACCGTTTCTTCTGCGACGATCGTTTCCTTCCATCATTTCATCATATCAATGATGATATTTCATAATAATTTTTTTTGTTGTTGAAATTAACTTTTTTCACAGTTAATTTTCTGCGCAATTCAACGATGCCGGATGTCCGATGAGCTTTGCAGAATATCAATCGTTCTGAAACTTTGTCCAGAATTCAATCCTCCGCTCGTTCGAATTTCAGGCATCATTCTCGATTTCTCTCCCTCTCTCTCGCCGATCGATTACTGTTTATCTTTTTTTAGTTGTAATTTTCATTTCCTTATATCCCCATATTTTTGCTCAAGTACCGAAACCTGACCGTGATTTTTGAATTGGTCGCAGTTTTAAAAATAGTCTAAGTTAGTCTGATTAAAATGATTAAACAAGTAGCCAAAGTGTTGTTGTTGTTTTTTTTTTGGAGAGATTGAAAGGTAAATTGAACAAAGACTTGGCTAGCTTTAGTGTCCTTTCTTTTTTTTTTTGAAAAAAAATTGGAGTAGAGATTAGCGTGGTTAAACGACGTTTTTTTTTGTTTTGGGTTTTGCTATAAACAGTTTCTGATACTGGTGTTGGATGCAACCTGAAAGAGTTTGAAGCTCTAAGATATGCGACTAATCCTATATCTGCCAGCAAATTTGGTGAGTTTAAATGAGAATAACATGCTTGACATCCTTATTTCTCAAGTTAGTGATTTCTGAAGCTCAAAACTAGTTCGTCTTCATGTGACCGGACAATTGCCTGAAAAGTGGATTTGGTTTTTGGCTTTGCAGATGGAGTAATCACTATTACCACTACGGGTGAGTTCCGTTTTCTTAAAATGTTTCTTTTAAATGCTTGAAAGATAGCTTTGACATAATAATTACCATCAAACGCGTAATTACCAAGCGTCTTATCTAAGGGGAGGTATTTCAATAAAATGGACTATTTCAGATTCGAACGTGCTTGATAATTTTGACTTGGGCCAGGACTAAAAAGTTCTAGATACTTTGAAACTTCTGCTTAACATTTCTTTCAATCACTAAGGAATGACGATCAGCCAGAAGTAGTCATCGTCTGACCGATCGGCTCGGACACCTGCAAATGGCTTGAGAAACAAAGGGATGGAATGGCTAATGAAACCTAATTTCTTTTCTAGATTGATCTCAAGAAAGACATGACTCACATTGTACCTTCCTGAATTATCGGTAATTCTAAGCCAATGTATGCCACTTCTGCAGGCATTTCTGATAATGAAATCCATACTTTCAGCTTGAACATAAATGAAACCATCTCCTCAGGGAGGCTGACAAAGCTATCTTCAATTTCGAAATGTGGTGCAAAATTCAGGCATGCCATCTTCTATACCGTAGTTTCCTTTCTCTTGAAGACATTGTTCTCAATTATTTTCCTCTTCCTTTTGTTTGAATTCTTCTTGTAGTGGGACTGAAGCTGTGCTATCAACAGCTGAAAGTTTAAACGACTTGCAGAGTGACATAAGCTTATTTCTCCATAAGGTTACATTCTTTATGTCCATTCTTTATCAAGGAAGCTGCCTGCTTATTTCTGAAAGCATGGCATTGTGCGAACTGAATCTTACCTGTTATTCGCCTTATCTCTCTTATGGTTTATCCTGCAGATGTCCATGGTGAAATTACCTGTACGTTCCAATCACCCTTCTCAATAATTTGTATGTACGGCATCTGCGATTTTGTATTCTAAAAGAACGTTGCATGGTCATGTAATCATGAGCATATCATGGATTTATGCTGGTCAGATGTGCAAATTCCACTACTGGTCTCGGGGACAATGCTAGACTTGGTCCTTGAATCTTTCATTCTTATGCTTTTATATGATTAACTGATGTACTTTGAGTTGGTTGCTATCTCAATGGACACTGGCAATGATTACGCCGTTTGCAAATGGTACCGATATTTTTCTTCTATGACATTTATCTAACAAACTTATTGAAAATTTTCCTAGCTATGGTAGAGGTGTAATTTGCAGTTAATATATATTCAATGAAACTCGTAATTAATCCTGGAATCAGAACTTGTACTCATTCCATTTGTTCAGTTTCTTTTCAATCGCGCTTTACAATTATTTTTTTATTTGGTCCTGTGAGCATGTGATGTATAGGGAGGGAATTTGGCTGGCCAGGATATATGTCAGAGAAAAGTACTGCGGATTGCAACTCTTCTATCTTCACAAGAACCCCGGATGAATGTTGTTGATATTTTACGTTGGCCCATGCTAGATCGAGCTCAATAGGCCAGAGCTGCCTAGGGTTTTGGGTTTATCAGATGTAGTCATAATTTTGGAAAAACTGTATTCACTATAAATGTTTCAACAGTAAGCAACTCTTCAGGGATTTTCAACCCCTAGTGTCTTTCTCACAGTATTATATATTATAATCAGGTTTCACATGCAAATTACGGGATTACCCTGAAACCAGGCCCTTGCTAAGGCTAATTCAGCAGACCAGTTACAATGATGAAGTGACTTTTTTTTGCAGACAGTTGCTGTTGAATTATTGGTGGACAGTCTAGGTGTACGGGGTTCACAGTTACAGAGTTGTGTTCTTGCAGTTGACTGCAGTCCTCTCCCTTCTTCTGCCACAAACATTGAACGTCTGAAGTCAGGCCTTGAAGAATATGTTCTCAAGCATGGAAATAGACTGGAAAATTTTTGTCAATTATGCTTCTCAACTGCGTAAGTTTTTGAGAAATTCCAGCTTCTGTATGCTATAACCTGTTATGTTGTAGCTTTATGCCATTCAATGGACTGAATTTGATGGTTTGGAAACTCAGAGGTGTTCATATTCAGTTAAAGAAACAAAATTCTCTCCTAGTCAGCTATATTCAGGGCCATATTTCTGTTTTTCTTGTTACCATATTCATGACTTTAGTTTCATTCATTTTAGGTCAATTTTGACAATCGATTTCACTTCCCAATATGCAAACACTCTAAGGTTGAGTTTTCCACATACAGGAACTTTTTTGGGTTCCTTCAGTATGTATTCTCCTTAAACAAATTTGAGCTTTGAATACTATTGTTGGTAATGACACTTACGCCCTGAAGAAGCAGTTTTAGAGAAGAAAAGGAGTTTGTATTCTTTTCTGTGTCAAATCATCACTCATCTATTGCTTTCCCCTGTATTTGAAGATTAATTTGAATGATACTGGTTTGTCCTAAAAACTTTTTTCTTTTGGTGACAAAGAATTCTCAAGAATCAAGTTGACCTAAAATTTTTTCCTGTACATGCATTGCTAGAATCCAAATTTAGCACACAACATGTAAACAATATAGGTATCCTATTATGGTCCAGGGAACATCTGAAGGTTGGAACTGGCATGGCTAAAAGGTCAGGTACAAGTCAAAGTAAAAGGCAGATGATGGAAGCTGTCGTTGTTATCAGTGAAACATCAGAACCAGCCTTTCCTGCCTGTTGCAGGCCCTCTGGCAAAAGAACAGAGGTTCGTCATGATCCATGTTTTGCTTCTTTGGTTGGTGCTTCTAATAAGGAGACTTAATCTTATTCGTTTTTCAAGAAATGCTTTGTAACAGTGTTGTTGCTGCAATACCCAACATGCATGTACATGTCATGCTAGTTTTGCTTAAAATTTATGAGAAAATAGGTGGGTAGGGCTATCTGACATGTTTGCAAATGCTTCGCTGGTAATTGTTGAAAATGATTGCTCTTCACAACTCAAATGATTACCATGTCCAACTCAACTTTGTCAGCCAGTATTTGTTACTTGAGGGGAGTGTGTTGTTTGAAATGGTTCTTGTCAAAGTTCTACTAGATGTGAAACTCTAGGAGGGAATGCTTATGGTTTCTTAGCTTTCTGTCCCTTCTTTTCCCCCATTTTCTGACAACCAAATTATACAATCTATTGAAATGGGCAAAGATTTACAAAGTTTATCTTCTTAATTAGGCAACAGAAAGTGAAAAGGATTTTTATGGTCTGTCTATGACATAATGCAGCTGTCGGTGCCAAAGAAATGTAGTATGCTAGCTTAATGATGTAAAATCTCCTTCCTATGTTATAAAAAAATAAGTTGAACAGAAAACCTATTAATGCATTTGTGTTTGTCTGGGTTAACGTTTGATGGTGAATATCTTTCTTCAGGTCTTCTTTTTTAAGGACTTCACACCTTGCTCAATTCCCCAACCATCTTTGGATGCATTGACAAGCATCAAGTGGAAAGATTATGGTCTTACCCTGAAGAGGATTACTGATCAAGATGATATTGCACTTCTGGAATGGGAAAACCTGCCACCAAACTTCCACATTGACATTGCCCTCCACAGTTACCATAAAGAATATCCATTGTAGTCTGCTAAAGATCTGAGGATATTTCACCATTTATTGTGATATCTATATTTGGCATATTTTACACGCGTCTATTTCTTAACTTGATAAAAATGTCATGATGGTACCTAGCGCAGGTAACAGACAAGCAGACAAAACATTCACCAGAAAAGCTCTCAAGCTTGCGCTCTATGAACTGAAAGAAACCAATGATAAGGCTCTTCTAAGTTCTCATGCACTTAAGGTATGTTTTCTCCTCCATTAGGACCTCTGATTGTATTGCTCTTCTAGAAACGTATTCAGTTTTTCCAATAACAGCACAATGATAACCTAGACTTGACATCGGTAAATTTTACTGACAATGAAATCTTAGACTTTACGTTGGTAAATTTTACTGAACGAATTCTTATTGAGTTCCTTCGAGGCCATGACCGAATTAAATCTCAATCCTAATTTTTTATTTGGCATAACTGTTTCTAGTGGAGTGCTTTTGCTTCTAGAGGCTACTTATTTAATGACTTATGTGCATGCTTTTCATTGTCAACAGCTATTCTTAAAGACCGAATTTTTCTTTCGTCAGTTTCATCAAATTTTAAGCTAATCTAAAAGCTTGTTGCCTTTCTTCAGATTTGCAATTATGCACCTGATCTTGCGAAAACAATTGCTGGCCTAGTTTTGTCATCATGTGACATCAACTTCAAAAAAGAGTGCTTCTCTGTTCTTGGATTGCAATGCCAAAAACTCGAGGCAAGTGGCCTTGAAAACTGCATAAAGGACAAGATACTATCAGCCATAGGTTCAAATGACAGAAAGGCCCAACGAACCAGAGAACCTGCAGCTATTCTTTTTCAAAATGAATGCTTCCAGTTGGACTTCCAAGACGAAGATTATGAAGATGGTGAGGAAATGTTTAGCTCCTTAAAGTTGTAGAGAAATTTGAAGCCAAACGAATCTTGATTTTGTGACCCGCAATCTCCCAAATTGAAGTCTGAGATCGACTGTCTGCCTGTTTTTACCAGTGGCAATCTTTTTCATTTAATGCTTTCAACTATGCATTCCTTGCCACAGTGGTCTATGATATATTTCACTGATCTTTAGTGACTTTTCTCTCTAAAAATCCTGAGGACATATTCGGTCTACTATGGATTACTGGGGATAGTGGTGATCAACATTTTTCAACCCAGACGATGGGACAAATGTCAACTTCTCCCGGTTTACTCTGCTGATTCTGACATTCTGGATACTATCTCAGTAGTGGAATTAGGCCCTATATCTTCCAAGTATGACAGCTTCAGCTGCCCGTTTTCTTTGTATAATGTCAAAAATGTCATTTTCGAAGCTAAAATATCAGCATATATATTTTCATGAGACTTTCGATACACAATTAAGAAAGAGATTATTTGATTGCGATTTATTGGTGAATTACAGAGAAATTACACGCTCCTTTTCAATGCTAGATATTTATTTGGTTGTGATATAAACCAGCATTGAACTACATATATGGCCAAAGTATACGGTAAAGCATAGGATTGATTTGCACCAATGTTGGACACACACTCCCAAGTCTTTGGATTTACGCTTATTCTAAGCTGCAGAGGGAGCTGGGACGTAGGATAATGCAGGCTCAGGCATGGAGGCCATGATTGATGGTCTGGAGAAGGTCTCTTCCTCTGGGACAGGGTCTTCAGCCTTGAAGTCAAGGGAAGCATCATTGTAGACATCCCACCATTTCTGAACTAACATCTTGATATCTTCTCTGTCCATATTAGCTTCTTTGCCTGTGTACCTCCATGGTTTTGATCCCTATTTCATTGAATAATACCAGATAAATGTCATAAAAGTTAGCAAGGACTATCGTTCATTGCTGCCAATAGATAAAAAGCGTGCATATATAGGGGAATTGCATACCGCAGCGCAGTAGTGAACCACTTTAACTTCATCGAGTTCCACGTTCTCCGGATGGCGCCAAAGCATCGCTAGAACCAAATTGTACGCCAAAGAAATGGGTTTGTACGTAGTTTGGAAGAACATGTTCAAGAAATCCTGTTCCACATCCAGGTAGAAAAATTGTACCATCAGTATTTAAAACTTGGTCCGTGGTGCATGAAGTATGGATTCTAGTTCTTGACCTTTTCTAACCGAAGTTAGAGCTACGATTTTTACAAACCTAAACTCCAGAAGAACCTCCAAACCTAACCGAAGTATGGATTCTAGTTAAGACCACGGAAAAGGTATTAAGTGGTAGTCAAATTAGATAGTCAAAGGAGAGAGAATAAATGGATGTGGCCGCAAAGATGTATCAGACCTGCTCTGCAAATAGTGTTGGCGGAGTGATTTGGAGAGTTTCAAGCAGATTTTCGTAGGTCAAACGGCTGGGCTCAAAGACAAACATGCCAGCGTTGAAATACAGAGGAGGAGGTGAACCCATATCAGCTGGCCAGGTAACTTTGTCCGGGCACTGTTGGCAATATCCAATGGAGTACTGTGGGGAATTACTCCATGTCTTCTCGCAGAAGCAATCCATCACTGCATAAAAGTATCCATCTGCTGCGTCAAACAGATGGTCGATGTTGTCATAAACTTGGATGTCTGCGTCTAGGTAGATCATCTTGCTGTACTCCTCAAACTGTCATGACCACAGTTATTTGATTAGTCACTCCTAATAGTAACCCAAATATGATTGCTCTAAAATACAAAACAGAAATGCTAGAACGGCTTAAACATAGAGCTGTGGATTAAGGATTACTGTAACATATTATAGCATCACTCCTGATTATATAGATAGAGTGTGGCGGTGATGGTTTTTTTCTTTTATTGTTGTGGTGAAATAATGAAATTAGGATATAAAAGGATATTTTCTGGCTTTTGCGTTTCTCAGCCTTTGTCTTGGGGCTTCTTTGTTTCTTAAGGAAGATTCTATCTATCAAGTGCAGGTCAAGCTTAACCTAAGCTGATCCAAGTGACATGGGCCATAGAAGATTTTGGCACACAAACAGGAAGCAGAAACAGATACGCTTCACTGAGTCATGATACCATAGGCAGGCAATGGCTATGCACACATCTGGTAGACCTATTAGACTAAGACTTGAAATGTTTTTCAGGTTTACTTACGTTCCATATGCGGAGCTTGGAATAATTGATGACATAGTAAGCCATAGCAAACTGAATCTGATTTTCAGGAGGGTAAATGGGCTCAATTTCACGAACAATGCAACCCTGTGACCTTAATATTTCCCGATGTTCCTCGGGAACATCTGGGAGGATGGCAACCACAAGGGGGTAGGCACTGTTAACCTTCCTCAGACCTTTAGCCAATCCAACCACTCCTTTCACGTAGTCACCATTTCCAGCTAAAAATGTAACGTACGCTCTCTTCGAGTAGCCTGTGTTGCTGAGTGTTGAGACTTTCCCTGCGGCGGTGAAGGCTTCTGCGGGTACTTCTTGAGGGGCCATGGCTAAGCTTGATGTTGTCGGGGTGGATGGGAATGCTTTTCGAGGAGTGTTGGGGAAGTAAATTAGCAAAAACCTAGGAGGAGGAGGATGCCTTCGTTGCTGGGTTCATCAATGGCATCCTCAGCCTCCTTAAATAGCAAAAATAGGAATCTCACATGCAGCCTAAATGAACCATAAATGAAATTCATAAATAATTTATTCTCCTTTTCCTTTTCATTTCAGGAAAATATAAATTGTCTAAAGTCATGGGTCATTGTTAAATTTGACAGGAACGAATGAATGACGACCATTTTTTGCAGCTCACCTTACCCTTATAGGATTTGCTAGAATGGAGCCAATGAGGGAGAGTCAATTGCAAAATGGTCATCGTATTAAAGTCTTTTTCGCATTTAGTTAATTCTTCCTAATTGGAAATCGAGGGTAAGGAAATGACAAGGCTCTGGAGTGGATGTCCTTGTCTTCGGAATATTTATTAGAAAGATTTTTTCGGGTCTGATATCTAAATTTAAAATCGGATTTGGGAGTCAATAGATATGTGATTGGATCAAGAAAAGGAAACACAGGGGGCGTAGATAAACTATGCTTCGATGTCGTGAAAATTACTACACCCTATACTATGGAGGCTTTCATCTTGTAGCTTAAGCACGGCAATGAAGGAAAAAAACACATTCCCTTTTGCGCTTGATGACTAATGAATCTAGGGATATGATCATATACATTGATTATTCAGTAACAACAAATTATGCATTAATCGCACACTTTCAGGTCAGATCCATTCTCGCAATTATTTCGTCTTATTTGTTTTTCTTCCCTTCCCCTAATCCGACACAATCTTTCTTTTCTTTTCGTTATTAGTAAAAGAAACCCACCGGCTTGGAGAAGCTGCTACAATTTTTTTTTTTTTCGAATAATAAGAACAGTTTGTATAATAGCCGAATCTAAGGAGAGGAGGAGAGGAAGCCACAACTAGTGATCGGAGAAAGGCAATGATTGAACTTTTGATCTCTTATTTCCATCAAGACTTTGAAAACGTTTTGGTGACCAACAGCCCAAAAAACTGCTAGAATGACGTCTTGGAGGAGCTGCTAGAATGCATGTTAAAATCCATACAGGAAAAACTGCCTGACCTATGATGCTGTTGTGAGCGATGTCACATGTTGAAACAGTCTTGAATTTGCTTAAAATATTGAATATTTTAGCCTCAAATTTCCAAGCTTTTTTAAATTTTTTTGGGGGCGTTAATGGAAGTCACTGACCTAGAAACTTCTTTAGAATACCAGAAACTCCCAATTTTTTGTAACCAAAATAAATGAAAAAGCAAAGAAAGAGGGCCGGCCATCGACCTCCGGAACTTGTAGCCCATATAATCGTAAACGCATCATTCTTGTATTCTAAAACATAGAAGATCGAGACTCAACACCATCAATTTGCTTCTTTCTCAATTACCTTATTTATATTACTATTATCCTTGGATTATTGGAACATTTGCATTAAGAAAGTGGCAGTGCTGAATTTGAAGAACTGAGCGTCCGCAAGAACCAATACAACGAACAGCAATTGAAACCAACAAAGGAAACAAAAATTAGGTATTGATGTTGCTGAAAAGCAATAATCACTTCGAGGAAGAAGAGTTCAACATCTGGACGCAGACCATGCAGTAAATGGCTACCAAGCAACAGGGGAAGAGGGAGAAGGCCAAAATTTGCAGGCGGGAGAATTTCTATGGAAATTGTGCAGATGGCAATCCCAGAAGCTTGCATGTTATGATGGTAATGACAAACGCGAAAAGGGGATTCTCTGCGTCCCCGAGGTGATGATAATCAGGTAATGCGATCAAATTCTCGATATCGATTTTCAATATCTTATCAAAATATGCAAGAATTTGGAATTTAATCAATCATTCGGAAAAACAAGAAAAATCTCAATGAATTTAGCCTGCATGGTTCCTTGTTAAATTTTAGAGTATAAATTAAGAAACAACACAACACTTGTAATTCATAGTGAAAATAAAAAAGAAAATAGCTTATTAACACTCGTATTGAGACTCGAAAAAATGAATTTAGATTTTTTATTAAACTACTCCGTATATATAAAGAGTGCAGAAAACAACTCTACACAAATCCCAATATGATGTACAAAACTCAAACAAACATAAACTAGTCAAAAAACAATAAATATGGAACTATGTTTACAAATAGACTCATTGAACAACTACCTTCAAAAATCTGCAGTAAATTTGCATATCTATGTATCAATTATGATCCATCAAACTAAGGTAAATTGCAAGAGTGGAATAAATTAAGGCCGTCTTTAGCACATGAGGTCCATGGTTCGCGAACCATTATGTATCAAAATTAATTTCCTTTTTAGTAGATTCGAAGGGATTAGAAAGAATATACAAATATATACATGGGAATCATTATCATTATTATTATTTTTAAATTTGTCTTTCAAGAACTTAACATCCCAATGATGAATAACCAGATGAACGTTTGGGTGGAAACTATCACGAGCGATGATTAGGATTGAAAGCGTGGAGGTCTATCCCACCGAAAGGATATTCGTAAAACGTTCAAATGATTGAAGAGAATTGTAGAAAGATGATGGCAATCATTTTCAGAAGAATATACCATCAGCTTTATGAACAAGTTGGATCCCTGACCCTGACTGATGTTCTCGATTCCTTGTCCTGCTCCAGCTTTAGCTACCGTTCACAGAGTCCAAAAGGTCTCTCAGCAGGACAGATGAAGAGGGATTCTTTCCTTAGTACCCA